ACGGGGACGATGGACCATTGGAAGCTTTCTAGAAACTCTCTCAGTACCAGCGATGTGACTGATGTTTTGAACTTGTTTCTAGTTCTTATGTTTCTAATTCTTATCATTAGGGACCATTATCTTACTTATTTTCTGGATTTGAAGATTTACAGAGGAGACACTGTAAATCTCCCCTCCACTATAGCACTCTGGAGCATCTATTTCCTAGAAAAGTTGTCATAAAGTACATCTGTTTCTCTCCTCAGTCTCTTTTGGATCCTGGTACGACCATGTTAAAGGCTGGTGGGAAAAGAGAAAAGAACACAGGATGCTCTACCTCTTCTATGAAGACCTGAAAGAGGCATGTTTTTGTCTCCTCAGAAACACTAATTCACTGCCCTTACCTGGTCTAATCCCTTTTAGTGCTGGTTTGGGCCCTTTCACACTATACATTCTGAGGTTTCTAGTTTGGTGAAGTACTAGAGCACCATGACAGTGTATCTCTCCCTACATTGTAAATCCCAGGATTCCATAGGATGTTGCCATGGCAGTTTAAGTGGAATCATAGTATTATCATTTCAGACTTATGGTAACCAGAGGGAGTTTGCCATTGTGATCCTCTGAGACCAAGAGAGTGTGACTTGCCCAGTGGGTTTACACATCCGAGTGGGGATTTGACTCCTGGCCTCCAAAGTCACAGTCTAATGCTCTAACCACTACACCACACTGGCTTTCTACACCCATCTCCACTTCCTGGGTATTTACTTTAAAATAATAGAAATGCAGATAGGCCAAATCCATCTTTCCCTCTTCCTTCCCCTCTTCTATATCTCCCTCCAAGGTTCAGTCCCTGAATGCTGCTTCTCCTCCAGGATCCACGACGGGAGATCCGGAAAGTAATGGAATTCCTGGAGAGACCTGCTGATGAAGAGCTGGTGGAAAAGATTGCACATCATACTTCCTTCAAAGAGATGCGTCACAACAGCATGGCCAATTATACAAGCATCCCCACATCAGTTATGGACCATTCCATCTCCCCTTTCATGAGGAAGGGTGAGTGGCTGGGTGCCTGAAGCGGATGGGTGTGGGTGGGTGTATCTATGTTTTTCAGAAGAAGTGTTGAGGCGGTTATGATTAATATCAGAAGGCTTAGTGGAACATAAGGATAGCTTGAAGGATAAGGCAAAAGGCACCACTAGTTGTTGTGACAATTACCATTACTACCACCAATTATAATCCAAGAGGTTCCTCCAACAAAATGTTGTAGCCTGGAATGTATTTTCCTGTTCAATATTTTAGGTAAGTAATTAGGCCTTCTTTTAGGAAACTCCATTACATTGCCACTCTATATTTGGGGACCAGTGGTGTCACCTGTTGCAAGCCAAACCTCCCGCATGCCCCTAGTGATGCCCCGGGACTGGCACTATCATTAGGCAGAGTGAGATGGACACCCCAGGAAAGAGCTCCAAAAATGTACCTATTGGGAAACCAACTCCTAGTTGGAAACCAATTCCTAGTTGGAAACCAATTCCTTGGCCATTTTCCAAGCTCTGCTTCAGGAAGCAGGTATTTGAAGGTAGCAGAAAGCTGGTAGGTGAGAGAACTGTGAGTAAGAGGACCTGATCTCTAAATTACATGCTGCTTTCAAGCACACTACAGGATATTGTTTGCTGCTGAAGAAAGATTCCATGGTCTGTCAATCTATCTCCCCCTTAGGGCCTTAAGTCCTTGGCTGTTTCAGAGAAACAATGTGGAAAGCTAAGTTGGAGAAATCTTACCACACACTTTGCTTTCTCTGGTCTAGTCTGCACCACAGAAATAATGCAGCTTGACATTGCTTTAACTGCATGGCCCAGTGCTATGGGATGCTGGGATTTCTAGATTTGTGAGCTAATTAGCCTTCTCTGTTAGAGAGTTCTGGTGTCACAACAAATGACAGATCCCAGAAATCCATAGCATTGAACCATGGCAGTTAAAGTGGTGTCAAACTGCATTGTTTTTGCAGTGCAGATCCGACTTCTGAGGCAATGCCTCAGCTGGTGAGAGAAAGAGGAGAAACTTAAGAAGATAAAGTCAGGAAAGGATAAGAACTCCCCTCTATTTCTCCCCCTCTGTTCGCCAGATTTGACAAGGTTTTAGATTATAGTTATATAATCCTCTATCTGACCATTAATCATCATGGTGCTTTAAGTGATGTTTCTTTCCCTTGCTCTAGGAATGACTGGTGACTGGAAGAACTATTTCACAGTGGCCCAAAATGAGCACTTTGATGCTGATTATAAGAGGCAAATGGAGGGATCGAGTCTGCATTTCCGGATGGAGATCTGATTGCTGTCACTTCCTGCTTGTGTAGGGACTCCTTTCAGTGATGCCCTTTTAATTTTCATTCAAAAGTTGCTGTAGATACTATTAGCTTTATTGACAACAAAATAGATGGCAGTGATACCATGGCTCACACAGGACCCTCCAAAGGGCCAGAGAGCCTGTGAGCCACATGGTTTCCTACCTCTGCTGGAGAAGATACCTTGCACCTTGATGATGTAAAAGTAAAGATCAAATCCAGATATTTTCCTGGTTCTTTCAGACTGGAGGTTGGAAAATTTACAAAAGTAAAAGAGACATCTTCTTGTGAAACTTTCAAACCACTCAGATCCCAGTCTAATTTTAGTTACTTATTAGACTGTGCCAAAACTAAATCTGTACTATTGTTCATTATAATTTATGACTCAGTACCTTGTTACCTGTTGGCTTCCTTATCTTGGAAGCAGAAACAGGAAAGAATTCCAAGAACATGTGGATGTTACAATACCAAAACGAGTACATATTGGCTTCTTTCTCTTTACTCCACTTAGCATTTTATTCTTGGAGAGACTATTCAAATTTAAATATATCCAATAAAGATAATTTGTAATTAACTTTTCATACCTATATTTTATACTCAGTTAAGAAAAAACACACCAATTGGAAACAAATATTTAGATTAACATTCCTTTCATCTTTCTAATTTGAATTATTAATAATGGCTATTGCTTCTTGAGGCGGTTTGTCATTTTCATGCTTTATGAAAGCTAACAGTCTGAGTGTTAATAACCAACTTTTTGCATTAGCAACATGTTACTTGACTAGAATGATCTGAGGTACCGTCATTACTTTGCACTATCTCAAACCAAAAGTCAATAATAAAAACATATTTGACATTATAGTATATCTATATTGAAGAAATGCACAAGGAATGGACCATCCCTCCAAATTTTATCCTATTTATATAATGAGATGAGTGGCTGTAAAAAGTCAAATCCTCAGAAGAATGTGTGTCCATGGCAGGATCAGACCAAAACAATTCTGGAGCATGATGTAGCGCAAACAATGCCACTTCCATCCTTGGCAATGTCAAGACAGATAGTACCTGAAACCAGCAAAGTTACGTAGGTAGAAAATTCCACAAGCAGCTTCCCCTCTTCCTCCTAGTACAAATATAATCAAACAGAATATTTATCTATTCTCCCTTCATGTCGCCCAAAATCTGTTGCCTGATACAGTTGCCTCACTCTGCCTACCAGTAAGGCCAGCTCCATTGATGGCATAACAAAAATGAGGTGTCCCCATCTCACTTCTGGAATATGTCTTTTCTTCCTGAAGTGGAAGACTCTGGGTATCCAGAAATATACAAATCAATCCACGAATCTTTTTAGTAAAAGGTGAAAGATTAATATAATCTGAAGAGAAATCAGAGTAACAAACAAAAAGAATGAAATAAATAAATATACAAATCTAACACGGATAAGTGCCAAAGATGCCATCCCTGTCAGTCCCAACAGAACAGGCACATTGGGGTTAAAGTCTTGTTAGACAACATAGAGATGTGTTTATAGCTATGTGCTGAAAGTCAAGCTGTTGCACCCTGGGCACAGATTCCACCCAAATGTTCAATCTGAATATTTACTCTTCTCTGATGCCTGCTGTGGATGTGTACACCAACTCCAGGAAAATGTAGCATGCCAATCCAGCATACAAACTCCTTTTCTGCTTTGCTAAAAACTTGGGAAATTTACACCTCCCTTGTTTGTTTGTTTTCTGGGGAGTCCTTGCTGCTCTTTCCCACAAAATTTCACTTGAGTTGCTTAGGACGTTATCA